TGGCGGGAATTTCTGGGAAAATCACTGCAGAGTTTAATGAGAGAAAAAGAAAATAAAAGTCTGGAAACGATGGATCTACTGTGGGGGGGGGGAGCAGGCATGCAAGCCATGAAGGGGGGGGATTTAAGAGAGTAAAACTCCCTGCTGTGAGGACTCAAAAGTCTCTTATCCCACAAAACAACAAGTCCACAGCAATTACAGCTCAGCGTGGCCCCCGGGGGCCGCGGGTGCTTTCAGAGAAAAGGCCCCAAACCTGCTTAAACATTCACTAAACAAACCCGTTTAAATGTTTTTCACTTCTGGAACATCCAACTTTATTCCTCCAGAATCCAAACATCCCATAAGTTTTTCATTTTAGGATTTTCTGCTGGTTTTCCATCTGGGGGGGTCGGGGGGGGGCAGGTAGCCTGGAATGATGAAACGCTGCTGAGCTTCCAGGCTGCAGCTGCATCATCAGTCAGTTATTCAGAGTTAGAAAATTAAAGCCGATTGTTTCCGGTTCTTTATTCTTTATCAGAATCAGAAATACTTTAAGGAAATATTTAAAAAGAAAACTAAATTTCAGGCAATAGTTTTACTGGAATCCAGGATAAAACTTTATTACCTTTATAACATTTTAAAAAATCTGGATATTTTGATGGTTAAAAATTAATATCAGTGTAATAACAAGAACTTCCCTGAACAGATTTAGAAAAATAACCAAAGTGCTTCTAGAAAAACACTCTGAGTGAAATAAACACATTTTATTTTGTTCCAACATTAATGCTGATTCTGACAGTTTTTAGTTTATAAACCTAAATATAATTGTTAACGAGGATTATTCACTTTTTAATTAGCTTTTTACCTTTTTTCTTGAAAATCAATCAAGTCATTTTTTAGGTGTTTTTGTTCTTGAATTGAGAAAATAAAAGAGACATTTTGCCAAATGAACAAAATAATTTACATTTAAAATAAGAAAACACAATTACATCAAAGTGAATTTTATCTAATTATCTTATTTTAAGAGTAAAAATCCTCATTCTATCGGCAGATCATCTCATTTATCTGCTCAAATTAAGGGGAAATACATTTAATTTAAGAAATGTTTACTTGTTTCTAGATGATTTTTTTCAGTGCAGGTAATATATCCTCAATTTTTCTTAAATTAAGCAGGTAAGTGAGACAGTTTAACAATGGAATAAGACAATTAGCATTTAAAATAAGAAAAAAAAACTATTGCAGTGTCTTATTTCACGTGCAAAATATCTAACTATCTTATTTTAGGAATAAAATCTTCATTCTATTTGCAGATCATCCTATTTAGCTGCTCTAATACTTTTAATTTAATACATTTTTACTTATTTTTAGATTGTTTTTTCAGTTTAATTGATCAAATGCTAAACTCAGACGTGCAGCCATGTAGCAGCATCTTTGCTGAATGGATGGATATAGATCTAGTGCTTTTAGACCTCACTGAGGGAAGGGGGGGGGGCTCCATTTGTAAGGGGGGTGCAGGTGATCTAAAACGCTAACTTGTCCTTTAAAGGGTTAAATATCTTTGTTGAAGCTTCGTCAGGTTTAATCTGAGACGCTCTGATTGATGGAAACGTTAAAGAATAAAAACATTCTAGTTCTTTATCTAAAAAGATTTATTTTAATTTATTTTTAATTGTTAGACTGATTTAAATCAAAGCTTTAGTTGTAATTTAGTTATAATCACTGCGGTATATTTCTGTGAAAATTTAATTAATTTCTCAAGATTTTTTGGTGATTTAATGAAAGTTTTAATTTTCTAAACAGGTTAGAAATGTTTTTATTTGTTTGTTTAGTTGGATTTTTGTTTAATCGGAAGCGTGAGGAAAACAATCGGGTTTCTGGGGCTGAACGGCGTCTCTCCTCTCGCTTCCTGTAGCCGGTTTGAACTCTGACCTCTGCAGCTGCTAATGTGTGACTGGATCTCACTGGCGGCTCCAATAACCTCGGATCCTTAGGAAGGGGCCGGGGGGCCGTGGAGCCGGGGGGCCGTGGAGCCGGGGGGCCGTGGAGCCGGGGGGCCGTGGTTAAGTGATGTCACGCGCGGGGATGAACGTCTTCCTCCAGCAGATCCGCCATCAGCAGCAGTAATTAAACTGGATGAGAACAGATCTGAGTTCAGGGAAACCTCAGCAGAACTGACAGGAGGAATCAAAGGTTTGGGGAGGGGGGCCCCCGCTGGGGGTCCACTAGGGGCCCAATGGGGGACTGCAGTCCCTCCTCTGTGCCGTGTTGGGATCAGCTTTGATGGGGCTGTTAATTAACTCCTGAAGGGGCGGCGGGATCGCCACCGTCAGGCCGCTCCGTCTGATCTGAGGGTGCGGCGGCGGCGATGGGAGGATCAGAGATCAGGGACGGTCTGAGGGGTCAGAGCCGCCGAAGACCCGGGCCTTTTCCCGCCCCCCTCTGGGAGGGAGCGGACCTTTCAGACCCCCGTAGGGTCACACCGAGGGGGGGCGTTTATACGCTGCCCTAACGCTGTTTTAACGTCATAAAATCGGACAAATAAATAAAAAAACATAAAAGAGTCTCTAAACTTCACATGTTTAGAATAAAAAACTTATTGAGCAAAACTATAAATTGATCTGATTGATCTGAGCTGCAGCAGAGTTAGGAACTGAAAATACGGCAAACTAACAGAACCGCAGCAATCAAGCTTTACTGAGTCGTTCCAAAACTATTC